CAGGCCTGCGGCATCCCGCTCTGAGCGGGAGCAGCAGGAGCAGGGCTGTGTTGCAGGCAGAAGGGCTGTTTGGCCTTAGTGTGGGGGATTTTCTTCCCTGGCTCTTGCCGCATCCCTGCTGCCCACAGCCCGGGGGGGCTCAGGAGCTGCAGCAGGTGCTTTCCCCACCGCTGCCCTTACAAATGCCCTTGCTGCTGGCATTCTTGGGAGCATCTTTGTCTCTCCAGCCTCAGGGTCCCTCGCCAGCTACGTGGTAACCAGAGCTGAGACACAGAAATGCTCTGACTTCTGGATTTACCTGGAAACAGGCAAGTCCCCACAGGAGCTCACCATGGCTGCTAGGGTGTCTCAGCCCACAGGTACATTCACATTTCTCCCTGCTGCTTTCCCTGGGCTGGTTATGCCTCATTCTTCCCTGCTGCAACATGTGCTGTTGCTGCTTCATAAGTTGCTGACTGTCATTGCCAAAATCCGCATATAAGTCCCACACTGGCACCCCACAGCTGAGAGGTGGGAGCAGGCACTTGGGGTGGCAGCAGTGCTAGGGTGGCCGGAGGTCCCTGCCTGGTCTCATGGCTCCTGGGTCCCTCCATGCTCCGGGCCCACCACCTGCGCTGCAGGTACCTGAGCAGGGCTGGTGGGGTGGGAACACTCGCTTCTGCCTGCTGCCCTGCCCACTTTGTGGATTCACGAGAGCCAGCGTGAAGGGCTTGTTTGCTGGAAGAGGAAGAATAGGGTAGGGGATGGAGGGAGGCAGTAAACCCTTCCACACCTTGGTTGCTCTGTACAGTGGGCAGAGCTGGAGGGGTGCCAGGGCAGCTGCTGCTGGTGGTTCTCATGGTTGCATGCTGCTTTCTTCCACTGGTACCTTGAGCTCCCAAAGCTGGGCCTAGCTGAAGAGGCTTTAAACACTTCACCAGGGCTCTGTGGTTCTCTGTCCACCCTGGCAAACATGCCAGGATTGTTGGGGGTCCAGGGAGCTTGTTCTTTCTGTTGCAGAAAATCTGCCCAGCCCAGAGGACAGAGAGAGCGTGGCACCACCGGTGAGGAGGAACAACTACGGAGATGTTGTGGAGTAGCCAGCAGAGCACAGTGCACCATGCCCATGTCCTGCTTCACCCCTTCCTGCCTGCCCAGCCTGCCTGTGCTTGTGCTACCCGCAAGACTGGTGGGCTCTGGTACTGCTCGGGAGCTCGGATGAATTGATCCTGCAATGAGAGCATGGTGGAGACACCGTAGGGATTGCTGCCTGCCAGGTGGCCTCGGAACATTGCACATGGAGGGTACAATAAAAATTGAGAGCTGAAAGCGCACATTGTGGACAAAGCAAAGGCTGGTGGTGGGACAAGAAGAGCTGGGGTGCACGTGGTAAATGTCACCCTGAGGCAGCCCCTGCAGGAAATGTTGGAGCAGAGAGCTCTGGTCCTTCTGAGGCCATGGCACCTGCAATCCGACAGGACGGAGCTGTGAAGTGGCTGCAGGCACAGATGGGTCTGAGCTAAGCTGTGAGGGGGCAGAGCTGTTACGCTGTGCTCTCTGTTTCTTGAGCCTAGCTGGTCCCAGTGGCCTTGCCCTCATAGCAGCAGGTCTTTTATTGCCTGCCCAAATGGTGCTGAGATGAGCCCTGCAGCTGCATGGCCTCTAGGGGTGTCCTCTCTGCCCCTGCAAAGCAGGTGCACACATGCCCAGAGCCCTTCGGTGTGGTGCCTGCCTTGCTCTTGGGGCATGTCACCCGGCCAGTCCCAGACTCTCCATCCAGAACTGTAACCAGCCAGCAGGGGAATGGTACTGTCTCAAATCCCATGCATCCAGAGGGGCACGTGGAAAGATTAAGAAGCCTCTTTTACTTCATTTTTTCTAATAGCAAACTCACAAGTCCTGACTAGGGCGAACCGACTGCTCTTGGTGGATGTCCAGCTCTGAATTTTTTAGAAGGGGAAACCCAGCCTGGGTTCTGGAAGCTAGATGGTTTCATAGAGCAGAGCAGCAGCGTTTCACTTCAGAGACCAGAAATGCCTCTTTCTGAGTGAGAGCTGGAGATAGTCCCTGAGCCTCGCCATGGGAGAGAGCCCCTATGCTGGGGACGTAAGGGGTCCAGGGAGGAAACTGGGTTTGGGGACTCAGAACATCATCTGAACTGGCATCACGCTCGGCCTGTGCAGAGATGGGGAGCAGCCACCAGAACAGCTAAAAGCAAAGAGGCTGTGGGGAACAGGCGGGTTAAGCCAAGCACAGCTCACCGGGCGGTTGGCTGGAGCGAGGAACGGAGCTCATGCTGCCTGGGAGAGCGAGGGCAGCAAGCAACCACAGCTCTCGCTAAAGCCACTCCTCTCCTGGGGCGTGCGGAGCAGCGCAGCAGGGTGGGAGGCTCTTTCCAGATGGACTTGAGTTGGGACTGGCCCCACACTGTTGCCCGGCAGCTGCATGCATGCCATGGTGGCTCTGAGCTGCCAGCAACTGCACGAACAAATTGGCAACCCTGCAGACTGCTCTCCTGCCGTTGGGTACCAGACCCGGTCCCCTGGGAGCAGAGGCTCCCTACATGTTTTCCTTGCGTGGAGGCTGTGGCTGCGAACGCAGTGGTGAATGCACGGGGCAGTCAGCTTGAGCGCTGACCAATCATGCCGTTGTGGTGACTGGACCTCTAGTTGAGGGAAACCTCAACTTTGCAACTGTGGCTGGTTGAAACTCTTACACCTCCAGCTGGGCCTGAGTCTGGAGTGAGATTTCAAGCCCATCTTGGTCTGTCTTGGTGGGGTTCTCCAGGCTGGTAGAGCGTATGAAGCCATGATGGTGTCTCAGTACAGGGCAGACTGCAAGGGATTGAGATCTTCAGGCAGAGCCTGACCTGCAGCTGTGTCCGAGTAGACCCGATGAGTGGCTCTACCCCTGTGAGACAGCCAGGCTTATCAGCCTGTTATTGATCAAGAGCTACAGAGCCATAGCAGTGGTTACAAAGATTTATTTCTGATTATAAAAAAAACCAACCAAACAAAACCAAACCTTCTGTGTGTTTGCATGTTCTTTTTCCTAATTGGAAATGGGAGGTGCATCCTCCCAGCTGCCTGGCATGGGGTGGTGCAGGGCTCAAATCCTAAAGCATCACAAAGCCCCACTCCCACAGCGAGCACATCACCTCTGCTGGCATGGCCAAGTGCCAGGGAGCAACTGGGGCTTTTTGTGCCATTGCTGGGGGGACGGAGGAGGCTCTGACTGTGGCAAAGGTGGATCTGGCTTAGGAACTACAGGAATGGGGAAGGCACTGTGTCTGGTTGCTGAAGCGGGACCTTGGGAAGCTGCCTGCTCCCCACGTCTGGTGGTTGCTAAGCCCCTACCCGAAGTCCCTGTGCTGAGGCTGGTGGGAGTCCAGGCCAAGATCTGGCCCTCAGGAAGGTCAGTGGGGTTTGTGCGTTGGCCAGAAAGACAGCATGGGCTCCGGGTGATGCCCAGAGCTGCCTGTGGGGCAGGGCTGACACCCAGGGGACAGGCCAGAGAGGTCAGCTACAAGGACTAGTGTAAGCAATACTCCCCACCCACCCCACGCACATAAGAATAAATCCTGCTGTCACCTGGACTTGCTGGCTCAGTCCAGCCCAGGTCTGGTGGCAGAAAGATGCCCCAGGTCTGAACGCCCAAATCCTGAGCCTGCTTTCGGGTCCATCCCTGAGTAGCACTGGGAAACCATTAAGCCATTCTCCTGCAGGGCCAGCAGTCTTCTTCTGTCCCCCTGCTTTCTGCAGCTTGAAAGGAAGGGGAGGGCAAAAAGGGACAGCTTTCCTTCTGGGACAGGCTGTGACAGGTATTGGAAGAGAACATCTGAGCACTTGCCACATCCCAAGTGTTCAGGCCATGGAGACTCCAGCAGGAAGGACGATGCTGGGTCCTACAGACAAGGCCCACCCTGTCCCTGCCATTAGATTGCACTGGACTTGCTGCGCCGGAGTAGGCAGACAGCAGTCACCAGAGACGTCAGGGTGGTGACCACAAAGAGCAGGATGAGTATGACCCAGTAGTTGTACAGCATGCTTTTGTGAGAAGAGGGCTTCTCTGCTGGAATCATATTGGTGAGGTTCAGCATGTAGCCCAGGGCCCAGCCGATGGAGGTTTCTCCTGCCTATGGAAACAGCATGGCATGGTCACCACCCTGGTCAGCCAGCTCCATGGGCCTTAAGAGACCTTCCAGGGACCACCTCAGTGTCAGCCCAGTGGAGGAGTGGGGTGTGAGGGAGTCCACAGCACCCTGAGCCCTTGCTTGCCCACGGGTCCAGCCAGCCCAGGGACTGAGATTAACCTCCCTGCAAGCCTGAGCAAAGAGTTGTTTGAGATGGCTGATGTCTTGAGGTCCAAGGAAGGACTGGAGGACCCAACTGCACGACTACCTTACAGTCAGCTCAACTCATTTGTTTTCCATCTCCCAGAAGATCCACCCAAAAACTGGGAGTCCCATCCTGCCCTTGTGCCCCAAGATCTTCCCTCATGTTGCTTGGCTCTTTCTTGGTGTGGGATCATCTCTCCTGCAGGGCTTTTTGGCCTAACTCCAAACAGATGCCATGGCATGAGTATGTACTCTGGGGTTACCCACCTTCTTCTGGAAGGCAATGTTGGGGAAGGAATGGTTGTTGAAGTTGTAGCCTTTGGTGATAAGCAAATAAACAAATGTGCTGACAGCACAGTAATCCGGCAGCCTCTTCTCCAGCGTAGGAGCTTTCTGGAGCAGCTGTGTGGGATGCATGGAGGAAGAGAGAAAAGGGATCAAGCCAAGGCTTTGTTTCTGTGCCCTGAAGATCTGGGTGGTTGCATCTGACTGCAACTGCCCATACCCACCTGAGCCTCTGCTGGTCCCATGTGGGAGCTTTCACCCACCCTCCCCCTATGCCATGGGTGCCAGGACACCCAGTCCTCTCCAACGGCTGCTCTCAGAGCCTGGGTGATGCCCCACACAAAGCAGCCCTCTCCTCCCTGCCATGCCTGAGGGAGCCCACCTCACTCCAGCTGGTGGCACAGATGGTCTTGGCAGCATCCTTCAGGTCGCTGGGCAAGTGCACAGGTCTCCCCATCACTGTCTGGATGAAGTCGACCGTGTAGAAGAAGGCAGAGAAGGCCTGACAGAGGGAAGGAGGCAGCTGTGGGACAGGCTGGGAGCAAACCCTCTCACCACAAACAGCTGCTGTGACCAGAGTGGTGGGCACAAGCAACCGCCCTTGCAGAGCCAGGGGCCCAGCTTTGCCGTGGCATGATGCTGGGGGGCCAAGGACACCTGCCCAGCCAGCAGCCAGGCCACCACCCTGCTTCATGCCAGGACTTACGATGAAGTTTCCTGAAACCTCCGGCTGGAAAACGCCGTCAAAGGAGCAGCGGGAGAAGGAACAAGTGGTAAAGTCGAAGAGCTTGCTGACATGCAGAGCGCAGAGGCTCCCGTTCCCAGTGCCAACCACAGTGATGGTGGTGTTGAGGCCAAGGCTGGGTCTCTCCTTCTCCGTACAGGGGCTGTCATAGACGCTACTCAGTGACAGGCTCTTGTGGTAGCCCGTGGGCCAGCAGGGGTGGGGGACAGTTGCTTGGTAGCTCTCAGCCTGCCAGAGAAGTGACACATTGGATGTGTGAGCCATGCCATAGCCCCAGCTTCCCTGGTGCTGCCCAGCAGCCCCAGCACCGCTGCCTGCCTGCCTCCATTTCCCTGCTGGGAAGATGTGGAAGATCTTGGGCAGTGGCACACAGAGCTGGCAGTTGCTGCAAGTGTCTTGAGATGACTCAGGACATCTTGGCTCTGGCCAAAGGGTGCAACACCTTATGGAGAGGGTGGAAGGAAGCCCTGGGACCATGGGAGAGGGTCAGGAGCAAAACCCAAGTTGTCTGGGAAAGGTGTACAGCTGGCCCTGAGGGGCTATCCTAGAGTCAGGGCTGGAGGACACCCCTGTCTAAAAACGAGGGTAAGGGGGCAACCACGGGGTCATGACAGCCAGCATCCCTGTTGAGCACATGCTGGTACCTGGAAGAGCTTTGAGAGCAGTCTCTTGAGGACCTGGTCCCTTCCGTAGCAGAGGAAGCTGTGGGTGTACACTTTGTACGTCTGGCCATACAGCTTCAGCATCAGCTCGTTTCTGGGGTCTTCAATGGTGTCCCTGGTTTCAAAGGTGATCTGTGTGGAAGCGCCCCCGAAGTCCATGGCACCCAGGGTTTTCTTCTGGGGCTGGATCCATTCCCCGAGCCACCCACGCTGAGCAAGGAAGACAAGAGCAGGAGGAAGGATGTGATGAGCTGCAGGACAGCCGGGCCATGATGGCCATCCCCAGCGGGGACCGCACTCCCCTACCCACCTTGATGAAGTTCTCCAGGAGGTAGTTTGCGGTGACCCAGCCAAACACCCCTTCCTCTTCCCCTGACAGGATCTTTGCCCCCCGGAAATCGAAGGGGTACGACTTCAGCGTGGCCGCCACGGTGCTGAGGACGGCGTCCGAAGCCTGCAGGTTCGCAATGCTGTGGGCCAGGCGAGAGGGCAGTGGCAGGGCTGCACTGGGTGCTGTGAGTGGAGCCCCCACTGCCAGCACAGCCCTTGGGACCTGGCCCCACCACAGCTTGTGGGGCAGGAGGCAGGTGGGTCCTCACCTGCGTACCTGTAGGGCTATCTCCCAAAAAACCCCAGCTAATTCCCTTTGTCTCTGCCAGAGAATGAGGCAGGTGACAGAGATGGAGGTGTGCTCCTTCCTCCCCATGGCTGAGTGAGGGGGGCATGACTCCCTCCTCTGTGTGGTTTTCAGGGGGTCACTATTCTTACTGTGTCCCATCAGGCTGGCCATGGGTACAGGGGGACTTTCCTCCTGGCTAGCCAAAAAGACTGGGTGGGTTGTCCTGGTGCTGGCCTCACGCCAGCCCCTTTTCAGAGAGGCATGTGCTGGCTGTGCCCTGCAGAGCATCTCCTGCTCTGAAAGGCAGGAGCACCTCTGCAAGGGACATGGAGCTGGGCAGCTGGGAGGGCTAGGAGCTTCGCCTGGCAATGGGGCAACGTCACATCTGTCCTTCACCATCTCCACCCCTGCCATGGCAGAGTGGCATGGCAGGGCCTCCCAGGCAGCGTTTGAGGCTGGACAGCTGGCCCGGTCAGAGCAAGCACTCACTTGAGCAGGCGCATGCCGGCCGTGGCACCCAGGTAGAGCGGAGTGCCTGCATGCTTCTCCTTGGGCACATCTCTCAGAGCCTGGTTCAGGCAGTGCACCAAGCTTGTCCCAGCAGCCGGAGGATTGGAGCTGTAGCTTGAGATGCCGGGACCTGCAGAGAGGAAAAGCATTGCTCCCTGTGGGTGGTGGTGTGATGCTCGGGGGGAAGATGCTTGGTGGGCAGTTTTGACCCTCCCAGACTGTTTAAAAGGCAGGTGCTGCTGATTTCTGGGAACATGGAGCCATCCAGAGTCCAGCCACATCTCCCTGCCCACACTTCATTCCCTGCCAGCTGACCAGTTTCCCCACCTGGGAAAAGTTGCTTAAATGGAGAGTGGAAAACCATCCCTCGCTCCTCACTGGGCTAGGCAGGGAGCTGAATTGTTTCCTGGCAGCTCAATGCATGCCAGGAAAAGATAAACCACAGGCATGCATGGCTGCAAGCCTTGGGGGGAGATGGGAGGGGGTTTGGGAACAGAGCTGGACCCCTTATAACACCTCCGTGTGCTGGTGAATACACAGGGAGGCAGCTGGGTATGGCAGCGGCATTCGCACCATCACGGTGTCCTGCCTGCAGGGGACATGACAGACCCTGCC